GTTAGATTTTCTTCTTTGGTTATCTTAACTTCTCTGTCATTATCTATCACAAATGAGTTTCTAACCAAGGTTAATGAGTCCCCTACCCCCCCATTAAACCCAATCCAAACAAGCCCTAAGAGTTGGGCCAATACTTAATAGCTATGCCTTTTGGGTTAAAATTGATTCTTAGTCTCTGATCAGAGCTCATTAACTCATATCTCTCTAATCAATTGATATAAGCCAAGGTTGTAACCCAAGGTCCGATATGAAGCCCCAAGGTGTTGGGAGATGGATGACTCAATGTCCAATGTCAAGCCTGTAGGTGTCAAGAGGTGTATGAGAATGGGGCTCGTTGTTAGGTTAAAATTGATTTATGTTAAGACCATGTTTGGATTGATCTGAATAGGGAGAAGGGAAGGTAGGAGAGATATTCATTCTCTTTGGGTAGCTTTTTAAGGGTGAAAATGTGATGCCCCTGGGTTCACACAAGGCTGCAGTCCAAGGTAAAACCAGAGATGTCAAACCTGCCATGCACTCACACTGTGCATAAACATGTTTCACCAATCACAGTAATATCCTCTAGTAGAACCAAATAGAAGTGCAGGCATAAACATGTTTCACCAATCACAGTAATATCCTCTAGTAGAACCAAATAGAAGTGCAGGTACAAACAGGCAAAATAAAGGGAATAAATGTAATAGACATGATATAGAAGAGATATCTCATAAATAAAAAGAATCATGTCTTAATTATAATACATCTGATATCTAAATAATTAAAATGTCTCAACATGAAACAACTAAGAATCGTACTAAGGCAAACTGCATTTACAATATGAAAATAAACTCTAAGTCTGAATATAATTTAAAACTACAGTGGAGTCTCTACAAGTAAAAAATACACGATGGTGACTATGCCAGAACTCCGTCACCCTGCGGCTCTCTGGAACTCCGAGCTATCTGAAAGGGTATTTTTAAAAGAAAAAGAAACAACAACAAGAGCGTTAGAGTGCTACAGCAAGATTATCTCCATCTACCCCCAGGGGAAGGGCTGCTAGATGGAGTGGAGGTTTTATCTATTAAGCATAGTCTACATAGATTCATTTTTCCCGTATCTAAGTAGGATTAATATTTAGAAACCTACAACACGAGACGTAGTACGTCGAGCGAAATAATCCAAACAAGGAAACCCTCATGTATATACCATAAGTCTTAAATTGTAGATATTTAAACATTAATACCAAACTAAGAAAAGACAATCTAATAAAACCAATAATTAGAAATCCATAACACGAGACTGGTACGTCGAGCGAAATAATCCAAACAAGGAAACCCTCATGTATATACCATAAGTCTCAAGTTGTGAATCTCTAATCATTGATCCCAACTAAGAAGTAAAAAAAGACAGTAAAAGAAATAAGATATCAACACATCGTATTTATAATATCTTCCACTATTACTGGAGAGATAGAATAAAATACTAACACATAATTTTGTTAATTTCAAAAGTAACATATCTCAGTCATATAGTTCAATGATAGGTCGTATTCAAAATCGGCATCTGCCATACTTAGGTTATCAAGTAATTATTTCAGTGCAACGGACTACCCTGCAGGTATCCTGAACTGTGTACACGGCTCATTAGTCTCATCGCGATCTCAGTGCATAACATGAGTGCGGGACGGACTACCAAATAGGCATCCTAGAAATACGACTCACGAGCCTCACTAGATCAAGCCTCCTAAAATCCGACTCAATGGCCTATACATATGGAATATCGACGCACTACCTCATGTAGTACTGAACTGAGCTCATCAACGATATCCACCTCATATAAATCTTTGTATCTCAGGTATGTCGACGCACTATCCCATATAGTACTAAGATATACTCATCAACAGTATTTAGCTCATGTATAAACCATGTATATTTGGTATGTCGACGTACTATCCCATATAGTACTGAGCTGTGCTCATCAACGACATCCAATATGTATATGAACTATATCTAATTCGAATATGATCAAATCAAAATTTATCATAATCCCCTTAGGATTCTTAAATATATAACATAACATATTCATGACTAAATGTGTAACATCAAGCGGCTCAAAACTCCGCGAACGCACCTCAAAACAGCGCAACACAGCTCCACAAAACGAGCAGGAAAAACAGACGTGACATCTATTAGTAAAACAAGTATATATTCATCTAGGAAAATTATTTTTACAAATGGTTTTCTGTTTTGAAAACTAGATTCACACATCTTTCAAATGACATAAGTTTGGTTCAATTTGGAGTTCATTTGTTATCCCAAATCTCTAGTTAAACATTATATATGTGCATCCGTTTTTCTACAGGACATGTTATTAGTAAATATAACATATCTTTCTCTATACAAACTCTTTTTAAGAATGGTTTTCTGTTTTGAAATCTAGATTCACACATCTCTTAAATGACAAAAATTTAGTTCAGTTTGGTGTTCATTTGTTATCCCAAATCTTCAATTAAACTTTATATATGTGTATCCGTTTTTCTGCAGGACATGTTGTTAGTAAATATAACATATCTTTCTCTATACAATCTCTTTTTAAGATTAGTCTTCTGTTTTAGAAACTAGATACATATATCTTTCATTTGGCACTAGTTTAGTTAAATTTAGAGTTTATTTTCTATTTTAAAATCTCAGTTAAATATGATACAATTGCTGTAGTTTTTTGCAGAAAGTATTTATTTAGTACATCTCTTAAATTTCTCATATATAAATAAAATTATGAAAAATCCTAATAATCATGATCATGATACTATCATAAATAGCAAGAAAAAAATTACTAATCTAGCATTGGTTTATGTTTTAACATTAAAAATTTAACTTTTATCATATCATGTTAAGATTCAAGCATGAAAACACATATTCAACATCATATTAAACATCTAACTAGTTATTTAACTATTAGAAAGGGTTTGGATGAAGATAATCTTGCCTTATACATCATTATAATCCTCTAAAATAACCAGCAACCAAAAGGAAGTACAACCAAGCCGTTTTCCCCTTGCTACACGTTGATGATCTCGTCCTCGTGTCAATATTTGCTTCACAAAGCTCTCAAAATTCTCAAATTTAGGGCTAGGGATTCAGAGAGAGGAAGAGAGGCTTCTAGGGTTTGAAACTCTGATGTAAGGATGTTAATTTTCGTGAAAACACATATTTATATATATACAAACCTGAAATAAACCAGTTTGATCTGAACCAGGAATCCTAATCTGACTAGAAAAATGATCTTTGGTATTTTGGCCATAACTTTCACGTCTAATATCAGAATGAGTTGATCTAATACTTGTTGGAAAGATCTTGAAGATACATACAACTTTTGTCTTTAAGTTTTTCCAAATTCTAACTAAATCTGTGATAAAAATACAAAATCGCTTCGCTGGTCATAAATTTCCAGATTTATACATCGAGCATGAATTGTGCATTTGCTCTTATATATATACATATATACATTGAATTAATTTCAAACCAATTCCTAGCATACTTAAACATCATAATATATTATTTATAATATATAACATATTTATTATTATTTATCACAAAATATTCAAATTTTTTTGAGGTTTTACAGAAAAGTTCCCCAAATTCACCTTAATTAGTTCACCCCAGCAACACAAAATTTGTTCAATGATATCCAATCACACCCTAAAAGAAACTGTGAAAATTAAGAAGTCTAATCAGTGAAATAATTGAAATAAAGTAGGACTAAGAAAAGATACAAATAACAACTATAATCTTTTCCTTTGGAAAAATACATTCTATATAGAAGAAGAGAAATTTAAAATGTTTGTTGACAACCCAAAATTAGCACTCACAGCACTGAAGGCATCCGTTATATATTTTCGTCAAGGGGTTTTTGTCTTTAGACCCAACAGTTTACTCTACTTTATCATTAAACCCAACTACTTTTTTTAGTACCTGTCAACCCAATCATCTTTATGTATTTATCTTTAAACCCAAATAAAATAAGTTAAAATTAGCGTATACTGTATTTGTACTATCAAGTGGCAAAAAACCGAATATACCCCTCAATATCCATAAAACTTTCTCCGTTCTCTCTCCTTCTTCTGTG